CTTATTTTACAACAGTTAGTGCTTTTTCTTTGAATAATTTGAAATATTATTTTAATTCGTTCTAAATGAGGCATTGTTCTATCATATACATATTATTTGTATATGTGCACGTGTGTATGCATATATACATCTACATATACATGTGTATGTGTGTGTTTATATAAATACGCTCCTCGGTAGCTCAGTGATAAGTTTGATGGCTTATATAACACTAAATTTAGGACTCGATCCCTGCAGTTGGCATAGCGCAGTTAGCCTATTGCAGAGCTTTGCCCTTGAACAAACAAATTATAAATATTATTACTTACATGCATGCATATATATATATATACTCACAGATGTTGATATATTCTAGATTCAGTTAGAATGAAAGGAAACTAAGAACTAAGTTCATGACAATAATTCTAAACGAGTAGTTTTGTTTAAAACAACCAAAGTGATGTCGTTATCGATTGAAAATTGTGCAAATTTCATGGTAGAAAATGAGATCCTCATAACTTTGATAATAAATCATATATACTTCGCATGACTTCTTGATATTTATTAAGAACTATTTCACCCCAGTTCTTAATAGTAATTTTAGTTGCATGAGTTGTTGATAGTAAGTATTGTTGCATGTGAGTTCTTGACATTGTGTATGCATTTTTTGACTGTCAGTACTATGGCATAAGTTGCTAATAGTTCTGTTGCATGAGAGTTCTAATAGTAAAAACTGTGACGTGAGTACTTGACTTTAAAGACTGTTGTATAAGTTCTTGGTAATAAATACTGTTCCACGTGAGTTCTTGATAAAGAAGTAGGGAATACCGAGCTGGTTGCTACAGATGTAAGCTGTTATAGTGCTCGTAGTCCAGTATTAACAGAAATGTGTATTTTAGCACGTGATCAGGCTTTCTCAGTTTCACTTCTCAGGAATTAAAGAATGGAGTCCCGCGAAGATTTTGAAAGGTACGACAAAAATAGATTTGTATTTTACCTTCTGAGTAACGTATTTTTTGCACAAAAAATGGTTTAATCCTGCTTTAACAACTGGATATGCCATTTATTATATGAAATGTGACAATAATGACTGGTTGTTGTTGTTTTTGTTTTTGGTGTTCATGATGCAAAACGTTGTTGACATGTTGTGGGGCTACTTATTACACATTGTAATAATATAAGACTAGTAAACTCACCAAAAATGCTGAGGTCTTTTAGATAATCTAACTCTAAGAAAATCTTGAGATAACTGAAAGAAACGCCACATCGCTGAAACACCTGAGAAGCAACAAAAACTGCCCAGGAGAAAGTTGGGAACAAAGAGTTTACTTCTTTTGAGGTAATGGTACAAAAAAAGACAATAGATAAAAAACAAAATATTCCAGGCAGCAGCTGTGGTTGCAGTTTATTAATTGCAAGGAGTGGTCTCATCTTGAGTGCACTGAGCGGAGTCCGTCTTATGTGCGCCACCTCCGTGAGGACTCTAAGAATAACAATTTCCCCAACACAATTATATTGTTTTTCTTAATAGGCACAGTTAACCGAATTGGGAGCTTGTCTTATAGGATATTTTACTGAATAATTTAATGTCTATCTATATAATTTTGTTGTTTGTTCAAAGCAATTCTTTTGGATGTAGCAATGTACCCCAATAGATGTCACTACCCCGCTAAGGGGTCTTGTCAAATGTCTTTTCTTTAAAACGTAACCCATATATTAGAAGTTATGGGAGATCCAGTGCTTTTATATTCGGTTTTTAAAAACATAGACAGTGCTCTATAAAAGTAGAAAAAATAATTGGCTATCGTTTCAGGTTTTTATTTAAAGAAACAGTTTCAAAAACTTAACAACTAGTCTTGATCTCTCACTCTGTTGCATGCGTTATTTTGTATTAAGTACCGTTGCGTGATTCGTTGGCAGTGTATTTTGTTGCATAAGTAAGTACTATTGTATGAGTTTTTGATTGACAGTACTCTGACATAAGTTGATGATAGTAAGTACTGTTGCATGGGTTATTGATAGAATTTCCATAGCACCACTGCTTGAGTTATTAATTATAGTTAATGTTACATAAGCTATTGATAAAAAATACTATAGCATGAATTCTTGATGGAAAGTACTGTAGCATGAGTTCTTGACAGGAAGTACTATTGCCTAAATACTGAATAATTAGTACCATTTGATCAGTTCTTAATGCTAAATGCTTTAATTCACGATGTATTAATATAATTACTCATGCACATTAGTTCTCGATAGTGAGTACTGTTCCATGTGACTGATTGACAGCAACTATCATTATATGAGGTATTTATACTAAGTTCTATTGCATAAGTTAATAAAGGTAAATACTATAAAATATGTTATTTAAGATAAATACTATGAAATTAACTATCGAAGGTAAGTACTATGAAATTATATATTGAAGATAAGTACTATAAAATAAGTTATTGAAGATAAGTACTATAAAATAAGTTATTGAAGATAAATACTATGAAATTTACTATCGAAGATAAATATTATAAACTAAATTACTGATAGAATGTACAGTTTCATGAGTTCTTCATATTAAGTACCATACACAAGTTTTGATAGTAACTATTATTACATTAATTCTTGAAAATAAGTGTTGACAGTAAGCACTATAGCATGACCTTTTGATAGTAAGCACTGATCCACATAGGTTCGTGATAGAAAATACAGTTGTATGACGTATTGATAGAAAGTATTTTTAGACGAATTCTTTACAGAAAGTATTGTTGCATGAGTTTTGTCAGTAAGTACTGTTGTATGAATGTTTGATAGTAAGTACTGCTGTATTAGTTCCACACGAGTTCTTGATTGTATCTACTTCTGCAGGAGTTTTGTTATTAAATACTGTTGCATGATGTTTTATAAGTAAATCCTGTTTGATAAGTTTTGTTATTAAATACTGTTGTATGATGTTTTATAAGTAAATCCTGTTTGATAAGTTTTGTTATTAAATACTGTTGCATGATGTTTTATAAGTAAATCCTGTTTGATAAGTTTTGTTATTAAATACTGTTGTATGATGTTTTATAAGTAAATCCTGTTTGATAAGTTTTGTTATTAAATACTGTTGCATCAGTTTTATTAGTAAATACTGTTGTATGAGTTTTGTTAGTAAATACTGTTGTATGAGTTTTCTTAATAAACACAACTGTGTTAGTTCCAGACGCTGTTTCACACATGCTCCTGATTGTAAATACTGTTGCATGAATTTTGTTAGTAAATACTGTTGTATGAGTTTTGTTAGTAAATACTGTTGTATGACTTTTCTTAATAAACACAACTGTGTAAGTTCCAGACGCTGTTTCACACATGTTCCTGGTTGTAAATACTGTTGCATGAATTTTGTTAGTAAACGCTATTGTATGAGTTCTTGATTATAAATAATGTTTCAAGAGCTCTTGGCACTGCTTCTTATGGGTTCTGATTTCTGGGTGCTGTTGCATGGATTCTTAATAGTTAACATTACTCCACATAATGTCTTAGCTTGTTTGATAGCAGCATCAAATAAAGGCTCTACTTATATGTTGAACGTAGTCTTTATAATAGTGTATAACGTAAGATATTGGTAATAGATCTTATATATCATACTGCAGCGCAATGAGAATTATTATTACTTCTATGTTTTACAAAGATGAAGCCTTGTGGTAGATAACACAGGCCTGCGAATTCAAACTTCAAAAAAGTTGTTTTGGTTTTAATAACGGATTTTTCATAGTTGAGCTACGCAGATTTCGAAAATAATATTAATTTTTTTCTATCACGTAAGGATATTTTTTAGAAATCGGGAATAAAAAAAATTCTTATTTAAATCAAATTATTATTTCGGTTACCACAATGGACATTTTTATTATTATGTTTGTTATGTTTTGGTTTTTTTAGAACTATTGATAAGACTCTCACGTCGCGATTGGTCTAGAAAAATCTATAGCCAGTTGTCAAAGGTGACCCGATTTCAATGAAAATGATTCACTTATGTAAAAAGTACATATGACGTTTTGTGAAAAACCTGTATGTGATGGAGAAAAATGGATATCGTTTTGGGATTCAGCGTACAGGAATTACTCACTGTAGAACATGTAAAAAAGTTTAAGACGATAAAACCATCGCAGGCCTGCGTAATCAATTGAAGTACACGAATCTTGATGAAAATTATATAATTGTATTATTAAAGTGTATTATAATATTCTGTTTGAGAAAAAAGGTTTGGTAGCAAGCAGTGAATATGATACAATAGCATCGTTTCTTTGATTTAAAAATCAGCACTTTCCTAAATGTGTGTTTAATTATTCGAAATAGTTGTTTTCATAAACAATAGCTATTAAAGATGGAAATTCACAGTGAATCGAAAAGTGAGAAGAGTATTATCCCTAACGTGGTGACTTAACTGCTGACAACATCACTGAAGTTTGGAGAGTACCAAGTTCGAGTCCCGACTGATTTCAACAAATACAATAAATCTTGAACTTAGTGAAAGATCAATATATGTTTTTATTTTCATTTTTTTCAACATATGTATGATGAAATTGTCTGTTTATTTTTTCAAGTAAGGTGTTGCTGCTATTTCCTTAATTAAGCTTGTTCATTTAGTGTCAACGAATAAATATATTGTAAGATTTAAAGTGCAGCACAAGAATTTTGCATGACTGGCGTTTCATTTGCATAAAATATAGAAAGGTAAAGGTGTAAAGACAGTTTATAACGAAATATTGTAATTTTGTTACAAACGTATTTTTCAACTTAATAACTATGGGCTGTTAATCATTACTTTCAAACATTTACTTTCAGAATTAAATACGTTATTAGTATATTATTTACTAATAAATAACAGGCTGAGTGAGTTTTTTAAAAAGTTTTCTTAACAAATGTAACTCTTACTGAAAAAATATTGATTCACTGCAGATGGATGGAATTGGTTCTTTTTACAAATACATCAGAAATTCAACAAGGACCAGGTGGTTAGGGCGCTCGACTCGCAATCTGAGGGTCGTGGGTTCGAATCCCCGTCACACCAAACATGCTCGCCCTTTCAGCCGTGGGGGCGTTATAATGTGACGGTCAATCCCACTATTCGTTGGTAAAAGAGTAGCCCAAGAGTTGGCGGTGGGTGGTGATGACTAGCTGCCTTCCCTCTAGTCTTACACTGCTAAATTAGGGACGGCTAGCGCAGATAGCACTCGTGTAGCTTTGCGCAAAATTCAAAATAAAACAATAATAATATTCAACAAGGAAGATATCTCTAATCCAGTGAAAAGTTTGACAATTAAGGCTCTGATAACTGTACAATATTAATAATTATATATCCTGGGCCAAATGTAGCCATGGAAACAGTTTATGTAAAGGAACCCTGTTCCTGATCTCTGTCTTCTTCATGTAGACATTTTAGTGAGTAGAATGTTTGGTTTATAGTTGACATAAATATGCTATTTTACATTAAAAGTAAGATTAAGTTATTGAAAAAAATTCAATTAATGCGTATGACATATGCACACCGGTGAAAAATGTATACCTTACACTGTACTTGATATTCCTGTAAAACATATATTCGTTAAATAGTTCCATTGTAGCATCTCAGGACAACTTTTCCAGTTAAACTAAACATTTATCACTCCATATACCAAACTTTTCGATGTGTCGTTTAATCTGGAGAATATTCCCCGCCACGATATGTACAGAGTGCTGCATACTTCAATTCAACATCAACACATTTTCACCGTGCTTATTGTGCTGACTTGCGCCTCATTAAACACCCACATTAATCGAGCTCAATATTTCAATCCCTCTGACAGTGCTGTTCACAGGAGTGTCCAATTTCCTGAGGCTTCCTTTATTTCTCCCCACTCACTTGTAGGAATTTCTTTACTATATCTTCCTTTCTGTGTAAATAACTCTTCCTTGTTTCGTTAACATCATCTAAACCACTTGTGCGATCACATAAACATAACATATTTTTTTAATGAATACCATAATTATCATTGATAACATCATTTGTTTGTACTAATGCAAGGAAGGTAATAGTGACATGTAGAACGGCTTTTCAGGTTTCCCATAAAGTTTCATTGCCGTTAAAAGAAGACACAGTGCTACAAACAGTGAAAGCATGGAAAAGTGGTAAGGTTTTGGATTTGTCAGGTTCATTTTTATCAATAACCTCATAAATGTTTATTGTACTTAGACTTTGCCGTACTTATGGTAAGTACTTCTATTTTATGGAAAGTTTGATTCAAGGCCAGGGACACCTGATAAGTTATAAGCTCTTAGGAACAAGTATTTTTTATTTGTTTGTTTGAAGTTAAGCACAAAGCTACACAATGGGCTATCTGTGCTCTGCCCACCACGGGTATCGAAACTCGGTTTCTAGCGTTGTAAGTCCGCAGACATACCGCTGTGTCACTGGGGACATGTTTTTATTAATTTTCTGTTCTGTTTTAATATAGTAAACATGATAACGTAATCGACTATATTTCTTGTTATATATGCTTGAAAGCAATAATGACAAACTTAATGAAAACCTACTGGCTAATAAACCTTATTTGAAGCAAAACATAAATTTGACCATCTTTGACTGCTAGTGATCATTTATGGTCAAATTTATCATGACCTCGATTTTAATTGATAAAGCGCGGTAAGACGTACATCTGTGTACTAAATTTGATGGTGAAGTGAAACCACGGGTGAGGGGGGTTGAGGGTTTGCAACCTCCTTACCGATGAATTACCACGCAAAAGTACCCTTAGACCTAATGAATAATAAATAAATAAATAAACCCCCTTAACAAAAATCCTGATCCGCCTTTGAAATTTTACACTTTTTTTTTATATATAAAACCGAAAATTATTGTAATGTATTGGACTTTCCTTCTTGTTGAAGCAAAACATGTTAAACGAAAGAGGAGGATTTACACGAAACGTGATAGACGGGTATATATTGATACAACGTAGGAAATACAATTGGTTTGGACCCTCTTCCGCATTAAATGCAGTGTAACCCTGTTAGGCTTTGGATGATACAAAACAAGAATGGTGCTTTTACCATGAACTCTACTGCATCATGGATTCAAATTACGTTTTGCTTGATCCCCCACCCCAGCGGTAAGTCTGCAGGCTTAAGACGCTAAAAATCGGTCGTCGATACCCGTGGTGGGCACAGATAACTAATTGTGTAGCTTTGTGGTCAACAACAACCAAACCAACCTAAAACTTTTTTTAGATTTTTTAAAAGATATTTATCAAATATTTTAAAACGTATAAGAGAACACCAAAAAAGTACATTTTTATTACTATTTTGTTAATTGTTTGTTTCAAAATGTTTGCGCAGATATTTTACAGCGCTAATCGACAACTCTTAGTCTACTCTTATTTGACCAAATAGTGGGATTTCACGGTCACTCTTATAGCTCACTCTCGGCCCCAAAGTACATAACGCGTTTTTGTGGCAACGGAACGCGAATCAAATCCTTGGATTCACAGTCAGGGCATACTAACCACTTGCCTGGCTTGGCCTTATAAGGATCACACACCATATGCGGTGATTTACAAATAAGTATCTATGTGGTACTTATTTGTTTGCTTCAGAAATTCACGCAAATACACAATTTTGAACTGATAGATTAGGGGGAAGCAAAACAGTAAACAGCACCTACCGCAACTTTTAGGCTACTAGTCGAATTTTTAACGTACCCATGGCCTAAAAGTGGGAAACGCATTTTTGCGGAAATGGGATGCGAACCATGAATCGTCCGATTCACGGTTCGGGCACATTAATCACTTGGCTACGCTCTGATCTATTTCGTTAAATATAAAAGTTATGTAACGTATGTTTGTAATTCTGTGGGCAGATGATGAGTGTCCGTGTGGTTGGTACATCAGTACAGTTAGCATTTCTAACATTGAAGGTTGTGAATTCAAGTCCAGGTGGAGTGATGCTTTTATCGAAACTGTTTTAAACATTAATTTAAAAAAAAAGGTAATATTTGACCAAAACATTACAGATTCACAGAAACAGCCAAGCTTCAAAAATGGATCAACCCCTTAAAGGAGTAAAATTGTATAAATAAAGGGTTAAAGTAAAAGGAGAAGAAAAGTTAGCCCTGCAGAGATGTAATATAAAATAATTGAGTTAAACAACACATAATTATGTTTAACACTTAACTTTATAGGAATTAATGTAAAACCAATTTCTCATTAGAGGGATATTTGTCATGTTTTTAACATATGCCTACAACAATACACAGTATACATTTAATATTAATTGTACTAAAAGCCTGAGTATATATGTATAATCCTACATTTCACAACAGGCTTTTAGACCACCTTACGTTGTTATACGCAGTTTTTGTTAGGAGACAAATACCACGGATTAACCTAATATTAAAAAATAGGATGATGAGGAAGGAGGAAGTTATCTTCAACAGAACTTAGCCATTTTACATCATATCTTCGTAGGGTTGGACCCGTTTCTGCTTATTTTGCATACATCGCATTTTTATGTCGTTTATACCTTTTTTTCTAACTTGTTGGACTTTTCTGCCATATAAGTTTGCCGCAGATTTCCACATCTAAAGTACTAAAATACTTGAGTAATTGTTTAAAGTTTAAACACTTAAAGCTTTGATTTTATCCCTTATTTAAATCTGTTTGGGACTTACATACTTAAGACACTGGGATTATCGATCATTTGGACTTACTTTACTACACATCTAAGGTACTGGGTTTATCTGATATTTGGATTTATTCGGATCTTTTTACCTAGTTAGGGTGCTGAGTTTATTCATAATTTAGATTCAGATCTACACATGTAAAGTCATGCGTTTCACGCCTGCTTCGGATTTACGTAAGTAAGATACTGTGTTGACCGGGTTTATATTTTTCGTATAAAATGCTTAATCTATCTTTAATTTAAACCTGCTTCGAATTGGGTTATCCTTCATTTAGACTCCCTTCAGATTTACATTTTATCTGTTATTTGAATCTACCTTAGAGTCAAGTATTTAATTTACTGTTTTTTTTTAAGCCTTCTTTCAAAATTGCAAGTCCAAGGTGCTGGATTTATCTGTTATTTAGGTCTCCTTATGGTTTATGCATGAAAGATGCTAAACTTAACCAATGATACATTTATCAGATTATCGCATGTAAATAGCTAGGCTTTTTGGTCATTTAAGTCTCCTGTTTTACGTATGGAAGACACTGGGTTTCAAGGCTGTCGTTGGCGTTCATGCATCCCGGTGGCCGCAAACAGTCCTAAGACGTCAGAACCTAAAGAGCATTTCGAATATTCAAATGTTTGAGTTTGTCTTTCAGTTAAAACATACCGTATATTTACTATAAGATATTTAGATCACTATTGTGTTTCATTTATTGTATTACTTCAACACAACGAAACGTATAATCATGAATTTAATTTTATTCAATTATCAATGAACATTTCAATAATGAATTATTAACTTTAAAACTTATACGTTTCATGTATCAAATACGTGATGATTATTTTATTTTATTTTAACGTGTTTTAACCAAGCGTCTGATAGCTCGCATAACATACCTTTGACTATTATGTCAGGACATGTTATTAGTATTACAGATGCGAATCAATTCACTTCTGACAAGTAGCACCACATTCGAGAACTATTACATAAGGTTGCGCATAAGCATTCCGTGGAGGGGGAGGTGTTATAACTAAAGCGTGCACAGAACAGATGGCAAGCTACTCAGAAAGCAATATAGATAAATAATTCAAAAAGATAGTTAACAAAGTGAAGAACTTCAACTGAAAAATACTTTAACGAGGAGGAAAAAAACAAATATTAAATTCATCAATAATCAAACGAAATTGATAA